AGCTGCTTTTGTGACTTGTTTAACAATCGAAGAATCAATTGCGACAATTTGAGCAGATTCATTCTTTAGCTCGTAATATCTTGAGTTTCAACTAATTACGAAACATATATCCAAGAAGGTTATTGTTACACTCGGAATCTTTCGTCCAATCATATGACTATAATTTTATAGCCTGCAATACTTTGATTTATTAAATGATAATATATAACTCATTTGTGTTAATTAATCAGTTTTCATTTTATTATTCTTCAGAAATGTCAATGTGAGTATATTTCTATTCGTATTAGCTAGTTGTAAAACTTTTCTATCAGGATTAAACAAAAGTATACCTTGTGCGTATTACACTAAGCTAATTTCTACTACATGACTTTTTCTTTAAGCTATAGGAGAGTTTTCCAAAGTCAATATTCAGTTTATCTATGAGTAAGATGTAGTAGTCTGTTTGCCAAATTGTAAAGCTTATTGATTATGATAAACGAATGCTCTAGTTCATTTCATAAGGATATATGTCAAACGCTTTGGTAAAAAAAAATTTGAAATCTATATCTCGTTTAATTGCACTCTACAAATCGGATTTTCTCTTGAGAGATCGTCCCTTAATCTGAAAATGACATCATTCGTAAGTGTTTTTGATTATTTTGAAATTCTTCCAACTCTATTTATGCAAGTGTTTGACTAAGTTCTAATACAATCATTTTGGATTTGGAACCAAGACTCATGGATTGTTATCCATTTAGATTTATGTTGATTACATTCATTTTTTGTGGAAGTCAAAAGATAGAATATAATTGATGTTGACGCTCAAACCGTTCGATATGTATTCCATCTCATTCGAAGAAAAGAAAGTTCAGTGACTGCAATATTTAAAATTACATCGCATACTTTTGACTTCTATCGTTATAACAAAGCTAGGTAATTTTTCTTTTAGCATTTCTTATCTTTTGAGTGGCAAAAATTAGAAACAATTTCTTTACTACAATAAAACTATAAGAAAGAATGAATATTAAAAAAAAGTTCATGTTGATAATGTCTAGTCACATGTGAGAGCACAAACTTTAAGAAGAGGTTTTCATATCAAGTAAAAATTAGGGGTTCAATTCACAGTTGTGTTCAAGATGCGATTAATTATATGGTTATAACAGTATTCAACGACTAGCTAGTATGAATTCGTTGACGTACGGGAAATAAAGCTTCAAAATGTATAGCTTTCATACAATGTGAATAGGAGAAATCTTGGAATTTTAATACCCGTAACACATATTAACATGTGAACTTCATAGCTTGAACGATATGGTCTGTATGCGGCTGTTTATGTACCGTGTTGAACTGTACACGACACTATTTAGCAAATTTAAAATGAAGATAAGAGTAAATAGTATTCGAGATTTTCTGGAATACGAAATGCGGTGCAAAGCACGAATTTCGATTTTCAGAAAAAAACAATATCTCATAGAAAAAGACTCATCGTTTCTTGGAATCCATTGTAAGTCGCTCTTGCACTAAAGATGTTCATGTTTCGTTGGATTCAAATATTTGTTCTTGTCGCTATCCATCGAAAATGTTATAATTTCATCAATCAGTTGATCAAAGTCAAGATCAACGTGAAAAGTTGCTATAGTAAAACTTACCACAATGAGAGCTTTATGAATGCCTGTCAACCTTCTTCGTAAGAATATTATCGTTTGATCGTTTAATTATCTATATGATTCATTGTCGATATGGTGCAATCAGCACGTATCCAAAAGACTTTTTGGTCAAAAATAAATGAACAATTTTGTTGTTTTCAATGTTTTTTATATAATATGATCACAAAGAGTATGCATCGATACTAATACAAAATATATCGCATGTGTCGTATTTTGCAACAGGTGGTGCTCGTTGGGATACATTCTGAAAACGTGATTTGAGTTTCTTCTTCACCAAGTCTCGTAATTTTTATATTTGGAAACTTGAATAATTACTATTTTTCCAGTTTAACATGAATTATTAACAACTACTCTTGAAGTACAATACGGCAAGATTCTAAGATCTAGCCGCATCAAGTTGATTTGATACTGACTAGATGACTTCGAGATAGTTTAATCTCGATCATCAATTGATTTCTACATATGTTCTTGACTAATGATTAAAATATCTATCATACGATACATTTTTATGGCACAGTCTGTAGCATGTTTCATTTTAATATGTTGACTAAGTACAATACGAGAATTCATATTGTGTCGTATTATTTTTCGAAATGAAAGTCATTGCAAAAATCATTCTAATTTGTATCACTGCTATACTTTGTTGCGATGCTCTTATGCAGCTTGATTACACGTCTTTACAAGCGTATTTTCGTCTTATATACATTATATTTTCACTATACTTAGTCAACAAAAATCACCGTACATTGTCGTTGGCCATGGTACGTACATGAGCTTTACATACTGATTACTTTTCCAGTTAAATTAATGCCAGTTGATTTCATGTGAAAAAGTTGGCTGTGTTATACTTGCTGTAAGATGGCCTACTCCAACTAGCCAATGTCTCAAAGATCTTCTGTAGTGATTGACTCTAGAATTACACATGGTCCATACGGGTGAGAAGCTGCAGTTATAAAAGAAGAGTCCTCTGATCATTATCCTGTATTGATCAAAGTACCTCTATCGAATGGAGTAAACAATTTTTTCGTTAAACGAGCTGAGAAAGAATCTCTATTTTTCTAAATAATTATATATTGATAAAACTTTTCGAATGAAATTCAATAGAACACAATCAACACTTATAATAAAAGATAATCAAATACGTTTTCTACTGAATTAGATAGTCATTATGACATCACATTACTTAATTCAAGATATTTATCACAACCGAATTATCTTGCTATTGATCTATTAGTTGCTGATTTATTTTATTCAGATTGAAAACAAGCAAATATTGGAAGAATTAAATTTTGATGGAAATAATTTTGTTAACATTATTGATACTGATGTAGCTGGATCAGTAGGTTTAACAATTGATAAACGTTTAGAAAAATTAGAGTATGTTGATATTTTAAAAACAAAAGAAATTCTTATTTTTCATTGCATAGAAATCTCAATGTATTTATTATAAAAAATAAAGTATAAGATATAAAATCAAGGTTAAATTTAATTTTTACATATTAGAAAAGTACAGAATATTATAAATAATAAGCAAAATCTCTTTCGCAGTTTGCCATGTTGTCGATTTCAGAAAATCATGCGTAGAATTTTCAAGTTTGACGAGAGACGTATCCCGACTGATTAATGGCTTTCGAGGTTGGGACAATCTGCATTATGTAGATCCAAACTGGTATTGAATATCGAAATAAGAGTTTACACTCTTAGAGCTTACTGCTGAGGAAATATTGCAAATTTATAGTAGTTTTTAAATGTTTCTGTCAAAAACATCAGAAGAATTGGTTTTAGAATTTCGACTTGAAACTTTATATAAAGACAAATCTTTTGGTTCGCTTCTATCCTGAAATAAGGACACTGAATCTACTGTTATGTATATATGAGATTTAAAAGACACGCTTTTACGATAGCTGTATTTTAAGTAAATCATGGTTATCATGCTGTAATGGTCGTTGAACTTATGTCACGGTCGTTGAAATAGCCACACAACTACTTTTATTCGCAATAAGTGATGTATATTAAATACGCATAAAATAATAACAATAGTGCCAAAAGAAAGACAAGCTTTAGATTTATAAATCTTTTCGTTTTGTTTTGAGAGATAAACCAGAAATGTCTTTTATGAAAACATCTTTCGAGTTACAACAGAGTTCTTCATTATTCACTTGATTAGATAAATTTTGTTTTCTTTCCTTTCGCTCGAACACATTGTTAAACTAATCTATGGTAAGGCGCCGTCTATGCATAAAAAAATGTTTCTTCTCACGTGATATACTGATGGTCACAAAGAGTGTCTAGAATTAATTTCCATTTTTCATTAAAGTCGAATATCATAGTCACTTTTTACCCTGTAACCGCCACTTTGTCTAGAAGTAGGTAATTGAAACTCATCATAGATTAACAAATACATATTTCTTCCGCTCGTAATATTATGATATCATGTAGGCATAGGTCTTTTGTTCGGTAGCATTAGTAACTATCCAAACTTCCGTAAAATTTTTGAGTACTTGGACATTTTAGTAGTCTTTGTTGCGATTGTGACTAAAAATTCGAAAACCATTTTTGCTGGTGCTTCTGAGCGAAACATTTAAAAACTAACATATTATGCATCTAGTCTTGACTCTAAAGTGATTCATCAGTTGGAGGATTTCTCTTGTGGTTTAGATTTTGATCATAGTATAATTATCTACAAATACAATCTTGTTTACTTAAAGTAGATGAGTTTTATCTTATTTCAAAATTAATTAAATAATTCAAATACTTTATTCTATATAGATTCAGTAATTATTCTACACATTACTTTATGATAAGAAAGGTATAAATGTGAGTATGGAGTCTCGAGCCTCTTTTCAACTGACACATCTTCACTCTCATCCATATACATATCCATTCTAAATTCGTTGAAAGTATTCCATTTCAATTGAGCATCAAAAACTAAGTACAAAACACAATTTATTTAGGTTTAGGGTTGATAAGGTAAAAAGTTCTATCCTTAATAGCAAGCTTCACAACATATGTTTATATTTACTTTCGTAAATGTCTCTAGTTCTTTTTTGTGAAGAAAAGCTAAGTCGAGATTTCTTACTTCATTAAAATTACCATATGTGGAACTTGAAAAGTATTTACTCGTTATTGTTTTTAAATTTTGTTTTATTGGATGTAGTTCTAAGTGTGGGAAGATACGAGTATGGATATTTATATAACCACACATGAAACTGAAAAACAACAACACTCACAGCTACATCTTAAGTCATCGAGCATTGCTCTTATCTTTTTATCTATCGACATTAGTTCGTTCATTTATTTGATAATTAATTTACAGTCATCATAATCAACAACATGTTGATCAAAAATATCACATTAGGTTGTTGACAAGTATGAAAACAAATATTCTACGATTACTGCATTATGATCAGATAAATTTGTAGTTGTTGCATCATACTTGTATATTTTGCCTGTTAGACGTGTTCGATCTTTTACATAAATCCAATCAGGTGTGCCTCCAAATGCGCTCGTCACACCAATAGATGATTCATTATAGGCAGGAACATATGTTGTCTGATCACGCAAATAGCGTGCACCACTCATATAATAATGAACAAACAATTCCTTATTGGTTTTGTTCAATGTTTTATAGAAAGGATATTGATCTAATTGTTTCATGGCTGCTTCATCCGAATCCTCACTATTAAAATCACCTATTATTGCAGCGAAATAAAATAAAATACTAAATTGATTTTCTGCTCAATCATACCCATGATTATATCTGGATTATGTGTCTTTATAAGGCGTTCTAACTGTAAATGTTTGTGTTCTTGCAAGCGGTCATAGATTTGATCATCGTATCGTCCACCACATAGATGTACATTGGAAATTTTAGTATCGTACAATTGAATACTACCGGCACATCGCTGCGTTTCGTTGAGTATTATAAGATTAACAGAATACAATGTTTGAACATGTTTCAAGTGTTTTCGATGAACATAGACCATATTTGACAAATGAGAATGATGGTGTTTGTCAGCCTCACATTCAGCTCCAAGAATATAATATGAACTTAAATTTAGTGGTGCGAATTTTGCTTTTGTCCAATTATGATATTGAATATTTTCTTGAAGACAAACTACGTCAGGTTGGTGATTAAGGAGAAATTTAGCAATTTTTGTAGGTGTTTTACTAGTTTTATAGAATTGAACATTGAATGTCATTAATATCAATGGAAAGTATGATCGCGATTTATTATAAAATAAATCTAGCAATGTTGAATTCTTCGTATCATTCATGTTCACCAATGGAATAGACTGGTTATTGTTATTGTAAGTAGCAGCATTTGCCAGTAGTAAAGTTTGTGTGTACTGATCGTTGTTTACAGCTGAAATAAGTGCTAGATGATTTTGCAACAGGAAAACAGAAATAAAACGCTTTTGCTATTTGTATAGTATCTCAGAAAACTTGATTGAGTTTCTGAAAAGAATTATCTAAATTTACCTTTCTACGTTCTAACCATTGTAATCAAGTTCTTGCTCAAAAAAGCCGAGACAATGATACTGTGAGTACTCAAAAATTGCACGAGTTCGCACTCTTGGACCTTTATACAATACTAAGTCCTCAAAATAATGACACTTGCGTATCACTCTAGTTCTCGATCGGTCGATATTTTTCCAATTATCTGACGACTATTGGTTTTACAATTATATAGGAGAAAGAAGTTACCGAGTTCTGAGTTTTGACTACTCAATTTATCAGTGTTCTGTTCTTTTCATTAGAAAGACTTTATCGGTAGGCTGGATAAAGCCAGAATATTTGTTTTTAATGACTCAGAAACTTCAATGCAACATTTATTCGAAATCAATACACAACGAGTTCAATCGATCTATTGAAACTATTAGAAATTTCAAGTTACTCGTGTCACTTATAATTTTACATATATCAATCAAAATTTATATGGATGGAATACAAATTTATTCTGGATGATCGGATCTGGCAAAGACAGAAGTGTTGTTATTTTGCGAGGATGTGTTCGCCATTGATATGTCTGGAAATTTATGAAGCATTTGAATATTTTATACTACCAATAGTTGGACACTCATTCATGTATTACATATTCTGTGCTCCGATTATTTCATAAAGCACTAAGTTTGATATAAATCGAAACAGGTAACTCTTCAAACTATTGTTTCTGTAAAATTTGATTGATGACATAGTTTTTGAGAAGGTAATGGATCTTTCAAACACGGGCAGAAGATTAGAATAGAGTCTCGAAGAGATGCATAAGAATAACTCTAGAGGGACAAACCGAAGATGCTAGTCGCGGCATATTTCTCTAAAGTTCACTTTCAAACCATACTCATCTATTGCTGAAGCTGAAGATCAGAAAGGTCATAATTTCATTTTAATTCAATCTAGAGGAATTATGTAAGTTCTGAATGTACAAATCGATCCTTGTGTTTTCTTTCAACCATGATCAAAACTATCCATTAACAACATTTTCAATTTCTAATTGAATACAACAATAATAATCACCTTCTACTTATTTTTTCTGAAAACATAAGAATAATTGAAATTTGATTAAATTTTCATGAGAGACACAATAGACCACTCAGTCCTACAGATATTCTAACGTTCATTTAGCATTGTTTTCAAAACATTAGAACCCGTGACAGAGTTTTCATTTTATCTTTTCTCAATAAGTCAATGACTGAATAATTTGTTTTCAATTTCGGCGAACAGTCATCACCATCAACATGCATTCGAAATATTTCGAATGCGAGCAGAGTAAGAATGACATTGATCAAATAGTGAGATTCATTTTGTTTAGAACAGGAAAAAATTGAACATATCTCACCGTTGCTTGCTATGATAGTGCTCGATTTAGAATCTTGCTTGGATGATAATTGGAGAACCACGACTATCATGATAATAGTAATGAGAGCAATAATGAAAAATCCAATAAGCGTGTAGAGAATTTTCGTGAACGATAAGAGATAGACGTTGTGATCGCCGTTTTCATTTTCAGTCTCCGTTATTGGTTTCATAGAGAAATGGATAACTGAAATATATCAATTGACAAATAAAAGCAATGCTAGATGTCAACTAAATGTGAGAACTGAACAGAAAGGAAGTCTGAAAAAAAGCTTAATAACCGCGCACTTTCGTAAAAAATGTAATAATAAGCAAAACACCTATGAAAATATAACAACTATCTTTGATCAATCTTTTTACTTATGATTTATTGGAAATTTCTAAAATAGTTAATGTTAGATTATATCTTTTTTATGTGAGAAAGTTTCATTTTTCTAATTGGTATATCTAATAACTAGATGAATACAGCGTTTGAGTTCAAATAAATTTTGATGATAACAATGATGGTTTCGACTATTATGATCTTTCAATTTTGAAAGTCAAACAGTCATCAACGTTCGACGTGGACCTTCTTTGTTTGTAATCGAATTTTTAGATTTCAGTTGATAATATTATAGAAAGACAAAGTGAGTCAGTCGAATTGTCTAGCGAACAGATGATCCAACGGCTGAAATGTATTTTATTTAAGTGTAAGATTTCATCATCAATTACAAAGATGACCATGATGAATATATGTACGCCTACTATACACTTGATAGTGCAACAAATCCACTTTGCAACCGCCGAGAAGTCAGTAGAGGTATCTCGGAATGGCAATTGACTTCAAACGGAACTTGTCTCTCCAGTTCCAGATCGAACTTCGATTATATCGGCTATCATCTCAAGGATCATTAAGTGATCATTCCGACGAATTAAGTCGAGTATGTTCTTCTTTTCAAACATGCATTTTGAATATTTCATTCTGGAATTATTGGCAAAACGATTCAGCTTTCGACTTCAAATAAAATTTTCATCTAGGATTACCACCATTGATTTTTCGCTCAGTTGTAATAGTCACATTAAATCTTGTTTAATAACACGCCTTTCCTTTTCCAATTAGACCTGCTACTTTCTATCCGGCATTTCTTATAGTTCCGATGGAGTCAAATTTTTGTCCACAGTGCTGGCATACTGTATTCGATGAAACTAAAATCCGAAGTTTGGAAAGCTTCGCTGGAATTCGAATAGAGTTTCAACGATTTTCTCTTCTGGATAATCGACGTCAAAATTGATTATATAGCTCGTTGAGTTGTAATGAAAATTGAACAAAAGCTATCTTCAATCAGGATTTCGAAATAGACGTGTATTTATGGCCAACTACTGAATTGACGAACATCACCGAAAGCATCATTACTCATAACTGATTCATTCGTTCAATACTTTCCAAAAACTTTTTGATCAATCATCAAATGTTAAGTAGAGGATACTGTGGTGACAATAAAACTGAATGAAAGAAAGAAATACATTCCCAGATCAAACACGTTTTCTGAAATTCTCAGATCTTTACACGAATCAAAGAGACACAAAAGAAAGGAACATCAAACGAAACGATTAAATTAGATTTGGTACCCGAGACCATCTCACCCTTATCTATTTAGGGAACATGAATAGTGACAATATGACGTTCAACACAAGTTTTATACGACCATGCAGAGTATCGTTCTCAATAAATAAGTGTTCGTTCTTCTTCCAGCTCTTATCTCGACTTGTCAATAACTAGATTTAAACCTTCATAAATTACACATAATTTGATACTTTCATATATTTTAAGTTGCATTACAACCTATGAAAAGTCTCTTTACCAACAATAACTCTAAAAGTTTAGTATGCCTTATCAATCGAAAACAGGTTTGTATTCAAATAAAGATTCTAAAGTAAAAGAGTCAATGAGTAGCTAAGACTGATTTTATTGTAACAAAAAACGTATGAATGTTATGCAAATGAGATCTAGCGACAACACAAGTATGAAAACAAGTAAATCACAGATAATTGAATTTTGTCGTCAGTTCAATATTATCAACAATCATTACTTGCATTGATGAACTGTCGAGCAATAGTCAAACAAATTAAATTGAAAGTATCAAGATTTTGCTCATCAACAATGTCTTTAACGTTACTCACTAATTCATTTTTCTTTATTGCTAATATGCATACAAACTTCATCTAAATTTACATTAATACTGTAAAACATATTATGAACTATTCAATAGATAAATGAGTTTTTCAAAACAAATTTCATAATGATACTTATATGCAAATTACAGAATGAAGATATTAAACGATCTATTATGTTTTACTGATAGTTTTCTATTTAGATTAATGAGTCTTTCATAAGTAAAAATTTTCTATTATACTCAGCGACATCATTGATTTTGATTCTGATTTGTTTACCATAATATTACAACAGATTGATTAAATTATTGACCTATCCTGTACAGTTGACTGTTTAAACAAAGAAAGGGTCTGTCCTAGGCAACGTCTCTCTCGCTCTCTTGTCTAGTATATACAGTATTGTGATAATTATTTCTTCCAATTCGATCAAAATGGATGCAGTAAGAATCTCTTTGAAAATTTGTCTATTATTAGAATTATTGTTCTTTTTCTTATGTAGCCATCAACAGCTCAAGTTCAACAAGTTCGTGAAATAACACGTATAGAACGAATTGGTAAGTATCTATTGAATATGTACTTTATTCAAACAAGCTTTTTATTTATATTTTTGTCTAGGTGCACATTCACACATTCGTGGTCTTGGTCTCAATGATAGCCTTGAAGCACGTGCTGTCAGTCAAGGCATGGTTGGTCAAATTAAAGCTCGTCGTGCAGCTGGTTTAATTCTTGAAATGATTAAAGAAGGTAAAATAGCTGGACGAGCTTTATTGATTGCTGGACAACCTGGAACAGGCAAAACTGCTATTGCTATGGGTAAGTTTTAAATAATATTCAATCGTTTATTTATCTAAGAATTTATTTTCTAAGGTATTGCACAAGCATTAGGTTCTGATACACCATTTACTGCTATGTCAGGCAGTGAAATATTTTCACTTGAAATGAGTAAAACTGAAGCATTAACTCAAGCATTTCGTCGATCGATTGGTGTTCGAATAAAGTAAATATAAATGATTAAAATTTGTTGACAAATTTCAAATCAATTATTTATAGAGAAGAAGCAGAATTTATTGAAGGTGAAGTTGTTGAAATTCAAATTGATCGACCTGCTACAGGAACGGTAGACTATAGATTTCAAGAAATAAATTGTGTTTTTTTTTTTTCAATATAAAAAATTTATTTAAAGGGCGCTAAAATTGGTAAAATGACATTGAAAACAACTGAAATGGAAACAATTTATGATCTTGGTCAAAAAATGATTGAAGCATTAACAAAAGAAAAAGTTCAAGCTGGGTATTGATCTTTTTTTTTTCTATTATTTCATTCATTCGTTTTTTTCGCCTCTAGAGATGTTATTGCAATTGATAAAGCAAGTGGAAAAATTTCTCGACTTGGAAGATCATTTACTCGAGCAAAAGATTATGATGCTATGGGACCACAAGTAATATTTATAATTTATAGATTTGAAAATAAAACTTAATTGATTCTATTTTGAGACGAAATTTGTTCAATGTCCTGAAGGTGAATTACAAAAACGTAAAGAAGTTGTACACACCGTCACATTACATGAAATTGATGTTATTAATAGTCGTTCACAAGGTTTTCTTGCATTATTTTCTGGTGATACAGGTGAAATTAAATCTGAAGTACGTGAACAAATTAATGATAAAGTTGCTGAATGGCGTGAAGAAGGAAAAGCAGAAATTGTACCAGGTGTTTTATTTATTGATGAAGTTCATATGTTAGATATTGAATGTTTTTCATTCTTAAATCGAGCATTAGAAAGTGATATGGCACCAATTTTAATTATGGCAACAAATAGAGGAATTACTAAGTAGAACCAAAAAAGAAAGAATAACAGAAAAAAGAAAGACCATAAACTATTTTATTTTTAGAATTCGTGGAACTAATCAACAAAGTCCACATGGTATTCCTATTGATTTACTTGATCGTCTTTTAATTATAACAACAAAACCATATGAACTTGATGAAATAAAACAAATTCTTAAAATACGGTATGAATTGTTTCGAAGAGAAAAAAAACAAGCTGTTAGCGTAATCCCTGCGGGATTACAATACGAAACACAACGTAACTGCTGTTACTAATCATCGAGAGATTCTTTTATTTTATCTATCTTGGGAAATATTTCTTCACTATCTTTGTACTTAATTCTTCTGAAATGTAATAAGGAAGTAGTTCATATATACTATAACAAGACGTTATTAACATACAGTCTGTGACATTCCTATGGTTATGTCTAGTATAGACTGCATGAGCTGTTCTTAATGTGTCTGTCACGTCTATGATGACTCGTTGCTAAGTCATCTTGCATGTAACCGATCATTTTGTTTTTTCTCATATTTTAAGATGGTTTGCATCGATTGAGTTATAACTTTTATCAAAACGTAGCCCTGTTTTAATAATTTATCTGCTCAAAACATCAGAACTCTATGTCATGTGTTCACTCTGTCAAACTAGAAATACTAAATATGATGTGCTTCGACGTCGATGAAAATTGATCATACACTACATTCAAAATGCTAGTACAATATATTCTGTATTTTATTCTTTCCAACAGGAAAATACAAATTAAAAAAAATCTTTTACCGAAGTTTTAATTGCTTTTTAAGTAAAATATTAAAAACAGAACAACTTTTTGGTTAAAAGAATAGATATACGAGATTTGATAATCGTAATACATCCTTATTGTGTTTTTTCAATAATTAAATTTAAGCGAAATCGAAGCACATCAAACTTAGTATTTTCAATCTGACAGAGTAAATGCATGATATAGAGAACTATTATTTTGCTCCGATAAACTATAAAAATACGATTGAATTTCGGTGGACAATGCAACTCAACATGTGGAAACCATTGTGTTGTATTAGCGGGGATAGTCCGAACCAACCAACATTTGGGGGGAGGTGTAGCGAATTTTTTTTGGGGGGAGGTCAAGTGTTGAGAATTTTGGAGGGTCTACCATGTTTTTTCTAGCAGAACACAAGGAATGTTTTGGATTTTGCTTGGAAAAAACGAAAATTTTCGAAGATTGGGGGTTGTTACTCCCCCTCCCCGGTCGGGCCATCCCTGGGTACTAGAGAAACAAGACGATCGATTACAGGTATAATCGATTTCTAGTCTCAAAGTCATCTACTAAAAAAAGGATTATAATATTTCTCTTGTGCTTTCGTCAAATCAGCTACTTCTCTATTCTGGGAATAGGGAACTGATCGAAGTTTTTCTATTTTCATGAGAGAAGTTCAGAAGCAATGCTTAAAGCCATTCATCTTACCTACAACTGTAAAACTTTATATACAAATGACATTACATCCAAATACTCTGCAGATGTTGGTCTAAGTTAGAGTTCTGTATGGGTTATGCTTTAGAGCAGATTTTCATAAGAAAGTTTTTATTAAAAATGTGAGGTCATTCTGAAGGAACCAGTGTAGTAAGGCTTCCGAGTATCAATAAATTCTTTTTTTTTTGGATTTTTCGTTGCACATGTGGGTTTTTACTTTATGTAGAATTTTTTTAATTAAAACCGAGAAAAATCTGCGTTTTTGCTCTTTGAAATCTACGGAAGTATATGAAATAGCTCGGTTAACATGCAACAAGGACATGAACATTTCGGAAGTTGTTCTAGTCTACTATTCTGTTACTAATGAGCAAAATATAGATTCAAAAGTCTTTAATAATTTGCGACATTTCCTCATAAATATTCTTATGGACCAAAAAAAACAGCTAATATTTTTATCGCAGTCAAGCATAATAGTCTTGGGCATTACTTGTTAATTTCTTCTATAAGAATAAAAACTTGGCTTCCTCTTCCTCATTAACACGAAAGAACAATAATTAACTGATTTAGTTACAACATGATGGAAATATTCAAATTCTTTTTTGTTTGGGATACCATCGTGTATTATAAAAATTCTGAATTTTAATAAAGTATTTTTATATAGTTGTGAAGAAGAAGATGTAGAAATATCGGATGATGCTTTAAATGTTTTAACGAAAATTGGTAAAGAAACATCATTACGTTATTCAATTCAACTTATAACTCTTTCAAGTATAATTAGTCGAAATCGAAAGGTAAAATTTCTTTATTCTAAATATTTATTAACTATATTCTAATCTAGGCTCGTGAAGTAACTGTTGATGATGTTAAACGTGTTTATGAAGTATTTCTTGATGAAGCGCGTTCAAGTGATAATCTTCGTGAATATGAACAGTATTTTATGTTTAATGATCTTAATTGTATGTATTTATGTAAAACAAAATAAGTCATTTATATTCTAATTTTTAGCTGAACAACAAGGATCTGATACAGCAATGGAAACATAATCCTCATATGTTTTTTTTTGTATTGTTATTGTTGTTGTTGTTGTTGTTGTTGTTGTTTCATTCGAATGAAATGTATTTTTCCATTTTTGTTATTATTGTTATTTGTATCTGTAGAAATTCACGATGATTAAATCTGTCTAACACATCATGAAAATAATTCATTAAATTTATCTTCTAAAAATAGAATTTTATCTCAATTGAAATATACTATCAGCATGATTAAATATATCAACATATGATTTGTGTCCATAGTGTTTTGCTTATTTCTATGTTAACAAACAATGGATCGATCGATATGGTTTGAAGATTTTGTTTTGTCTTATAATAATGTCTTTATATGATAAAGACATTATCAATAATTTTTTTCTTCGATATTTTTATCTTTCTTAGAATCGACTGAGAACAAGAAAAGAAAATGCTATTATCCTTCTAATTCTCTCAAAAAACAAATCTCTTGACACATTTCTATGCATGTCAATCTAGGATGACTACCATTATTTTTTGGTTGTTGTTAATAGATGAACAGAAAAAGAAAATTCTTATCGATCGAACATTCAGAATATTCAAAGAAATGTGTTCATAGTCATCAAATACTCTAAAGTCTTTAATTGAGTGATCGATGAAATACTTTGAGATTTCGTGACATATATTCATTTGTTTTTTTCTTTTTTTATTTCTTGACAATGGCTACTACTACGCCGTATTTTATTATAGACAGTTAATTTGCATGTTGATCAACAATATTTATATTCTTTCAATGTATTTCATCTTACCGTTTTTATTTTCCAGTTGAGAAAAAATAAAAATAAAAAGAAACATTGTTTATGATGATTATAGTAGAAGTAAGTACACGGCATTTTATGTTTGATTAAAGAAAAACAGGAAAAGAAAAACATTATTAGAAATAATAAATAACCGAATAATTTGTTTTTTTGTTTTTTCTATAAGATGATTACTTGAGAGATATAAAGTTCAATAAAAGTCGAACATTTCCGATAGGCATTATCATTATTGATTGAGTCGATTGTTCCAATTATTTTTCTTTTTTTTTTCTTCTCGACTAAGTCGTAATCAATATAAATAGTTAAAGTAATTTACTCTGACAAAAAAAAGAACGAACGCGAATAACGTTTCATTTCGTTTTTTTTTCTGATTAGTCAATATTGACTTGAGCCTCCAATACTTAACATGTGTGATAGATTGTGATGATAAAAATAAATAGGAAATACAAGAATTGGCACTAATCATTATATATTATTACTAGCAAAAATTTGTTGAATGAGCAATTATTGCATAAGTTTAATCATATATATATGATGATGATGATGACGTATACACTTATTCAATACATTTTATGAATTTAATTTCTTTGTAACGAAAGCAATCACCGAGGTAATCATCAATAGTCTCCCTAGAGTTAATTGATAGTTTGATAGATTTCCACTCATTGATTATCAAGCCATCGGGAGTTGAATTCTAGGCATGTTCGTCGTGAAATTATGCAAGATATATCGGAAAACTATTTATAGTACTAGTTTACGACTGATTTTAAGATTTATTGATTAGATAATCATAGAACTAAGATATTCTTTTTTTCGTTGAATCAATAAGCACTCATTTCCTCCTCTTCCTCGCTACCGAATCCGGTGCCATCATGGATAAAAAAAGGAAAGAAAAGGTTTTATGTTTATTAAAATTTTTTGCAGCTATGAAGTTACCAAGCAGTCGATGTTATTCAACCATGTTCTTTTAGCTCACTTCTTTTTTTTTTCATTTATTCAATTGCTTATTTATATAAAATGCTGCTATAGAATATGAGCATAATAGCATTCTTTTTTTCCTGCTCTTTCTATGTTACTTGTTCGAAATAAGCGACGACAAACCTTGAGAATATTTCTTCATGTGAAAGTCGTGAAAAAAGAAAATATTTCTATTTTAGAAAATTAAAGTATTAGTGTTTCTGATAATGTCATTACTCAACCGTTTCGTTTAGAAGTTACGTCTTTCCTGTCATCAAACGAAAAAAGAAAGAAATCCTACTATGACAATAGTTCGTCTATGAATACTTTAGAACGATAATAGAAAAAAATATTTCTTCACGAGCCAAATATTACCTATTGACATGATCAATATTTATTTTTTATAACGCTTTGCCTTCTGACAAATGTTTGCTACATGATATTTTACTAATAGAAATTTTTGGTTCGATAATAACGATTAATATTGTCAATATAATTTTTTTTGTCTATTTCAGTCGATATTGATCTGATAAATAATGTCTGGTGAGAACACACGTACAGATACCACTCGATCTCGTTCGATACTACGTCAAGTACGTGAAAAGTTTGGCGGTATGAATGTTAGTCGGCGTCGAACAGAAAGAAGAGCTGAATCTTCATCATCAACTTTGATTAATACTCAACGTATATCAGCTGATAATATTGATGCAAAACATTGTCAAATACAATCTCATGTAGAAAAAACGACGCCAGTCACATATTCTCATCATTTATCTTTATTAATGAATGTTAAATCGCATTTTAATAAAAGACGAAAATCTCCAACAGCATCAGCATCATCATATGATAACGATGATCGTACAAATTTATCATTACCACCTCTTATTTCTGTATCCGTAAGTTGTTATTTTAAATAGAAAATAGAACTTTTCTTTTTCATATGAAATTAGAATTTATTTTTAGCCGATAGTTCTGTCTTTACGATTTATTTATTTGCATCAGCTGTTGTATTTCTTTTTCTTTCTTTGAAAAGGATTGAAGAGTGAAAACAAAATTTAAATTGTAAATTTTCATATTCATATATTTATTTCTTCTGAAAAATATAAAATTATTTGAATTAAAACGATTCACTAAGACAGTTTTATCAATATTGTTTTTATTGAATCATCATTGAATTTAAAACATATGTCAATTATACCCTGCAGGAATATTTTCAATGGATCAAATCAATGAAATATGCACAGACCTAGATGTTTTTCTCGCAATTACTGCTTGTTTTCGTCTCGAGAAAGTCAACTTTTCCATTAGTAATTTTATTAATTGTGAAATATAAAAAAAAACGTGTGTCATGCTTAAATTATACTTTTTAATTGATTGATTCCATTACTCATATTTTGTACGTTTAAAAAATATTTCGTGAATATTGATGACTTTAAAAACAAAAAATCGTTTTGAATGAATGAATGAAATTATCTTTATTTCGGAAGTTATTATTTAGAAGATAAAAGAGCAAAGTTGAATTTTGCTCTTTTAATATTTTTTTATTTTAAATAAATTTGACACCTCAAACGTAGATTCTGCTTTTCCTCTCTTCTTTCTGTGCATTCATTAATAAAAACTTATTCAAGCAAATTAAAACTAACAAAATTTTACTAACGACTAGGAAAAAATGAATATTATTTTGTGAAATAATAATTACATACGCTTATAAGGCTTGTATATTTTGAATATCAAATGAACTATGTAAACTTATTGTTTGACTATCACTCCATGTTAGATTTTCTTTGCTTTGTATATAAATAAATTTGCAATTCAAACATGCAATCATATTTTTCAGACACGAATGAAATAACGATTGTGAAAAAGTGGAATAAATTGTCCAATGCCCTTTATTTATCGATTCATCTTTTTTGTAAATTGCCACTTTACATGCTTCTATCAAAATATATCAATCGAATCATATAGTTTTCTTATTTAAAACTTGTATTGAATATATAATCGTTACCTCGAAAGCAAATAATCAATAAAAAAGAAATCGATGCTTTAACATATTGAAACAAACTTTCCAGTGGCGTAGTTGTCTTGAACAGGAAGAAAGGCTGATTCTCCTTAGTGTTGAAAAATTTTTTGATTTTTGTCCCAGTGGAATTCCAGCATGTTTTTGCTCACCGATTCTAGAAGAAACTTTTAACCTTTCCCAAAACATGATCAACTTTAGCAAAAAGATCTTTCATTAATATAAACTTTAATTAACAAGCTTTTATTTCTGCACAAAAAAGAAGTCAATCCGTTAGAAATGTACATTTTTTACGTAAAGGTTCGTCGATACGTCTGATTGAGTTGATACTATTCATGTACAGCATGGCTCAACAGTTACTTCTAGTAAAAAAAAGCTTAAGTATCTGCGGCGCACATTCACCGTATAGATTAATTATTTTTTATTACTAATAGAAATATTCTCTAACAGTGGATTTGATGATTTTCAAAAATAAACTAGATATTCATTGTTTGATCATAAATGTCCGTTAGAAGTATGTGTCTCAATAATGTGTCCTGAAAATTTTACTCAAAAACCATTGAAGTTATTGAGTACGTCATATATAAAATATTCATTGTAGTCATAACTAGTTAATGATTGTAGATTTATCTTCAAGATAATAGTTTTTATTGTTTTTCTTAGGCATACCTGACAGTGAAAAAATAATTAAACAATCGGTAAAAGGATGGTAGAGATTTACAAAGTTTTCTTCTTAAAATCGTAACTTTTTGGTTATGTTATAAATTACGTTTGATTTGATTTAGTGCACACATTTCATTATCTATTAGTCTTGAGTGCCATGTGACCTTTAATTCAATATAAATGAGTAATAAAATAAGTATTTTCAGTTCTTTCATACTTATCTTCTCGCTTATTCTTTAATAAAACAAAGAAAAGAAAAGGCGTATTCACTTCGATCTTTATTATAGATATGCATATCCGAAATAAATAGAATTATTTTGTAATAATGTTATTTTTGTTCGCACACTTTTGTCAAAAGTCGGATGTTATTTCCCAGAATTTTCCTCATTCTATAGTATTAAGACATTCAATAATCGAATAGGAAGACATGTCATCAGTTTGATTAAAACTTATAGAATAGGTCTTGATGCTCTTACACTCATTCGTATTTCAAATAGACAACTCAAATGTTAATCGTTAAAACATTAGTTGTTAATGAGATGCAATAGAAAACATAGTGGCATCCATCAACATGCATAGCT